TGACAAAATCAATAGTTTTCAAAACTAACCAAATACTTCCATATAAGACAGCTAATAGAATAAAAAAAATGATTCTTTATAGCGATGAGTAAGAATTTGTGAGAAGAGAGATGCTCGAAAATTGGTAGGAAGATGAATATAGATAATATGAATAAGAGTCTGAACATAATTTATTATAAACTCTTTATTTGCATACAGTGGAATAATTACTTGTAACAGTTATTCTGTTTGTTTAATAGAAGCTTGAATGAGTAGTTTTGGACAATTCAAGCGATGACATTCTATCTGACAGCTAGAATTATTTCTAATTGAAGGCGAAGAACATAATATTTGATGAGTTATGTTGACTAAATAAGTCAATTTCACACAGTATATTTAAAATCGTTAAGACAAAAAAAATTAAATCAAAAAACCTTAGTTTAGGAAAATACAAGATTCAGTAAGCATTTAGAGCCGACGGGATTGACAGACGAAGCCATGTCCAGATTCTGTTAAATAGCAGAAAAAATACCAGAACACTGCCGACAGGTTTGACCTGGCAAATGTGTGATTTTTTGTACTAGACAATTGGCAAATAGCTATATGAAACTTTTTAAAATGAATGTGTATTAAGGTACAAAAAATATACACGGGTATAAAAGGTATATTATACAACAAATATTTTATTTAGAGGAAAGTCACTTATACTGTACTGGCTCCTCTTTAATATCTGCAATTATTTTATAATTGCAATGGCGAGAGAACTTGTGGTATATTTAGTAAGCCCAATAAAAGCTCAACAAATTAGGCAAAGGAAATAAAGTTCTCCTACTCTGGGTGCCCGCTCACCAAGAGATAGAAGGCAATGGAAAAGCAAATGACCTAGCTATAAAAGGAGCGAACACTCCACTAACTGAACCAGAACCGTTCTGTTTTCCAAACGGGAACCAACTGAAAACGAAACTGTAGAATCTGGAAGACTCCATCCGTAACTTGGAATGGGTGTCCTCCAACGGTCTAAGACACTCGAAAAAGTTCCTTTGAACTTACGACCTAGAAAAATCAAAGGTTTGGTTTGGTTTAAGTAAAAACAATCTTCGGATTGTCACGGGATTTTTAACAGGACACTGTCTCCTCAACGAACACCTAAGTAAGCTGAAGCTGCGAAACAACGGCGAAAGCAGATTTTGTGGGGAAAATGGGGAAACACCAGAACACCTTATCACTGAGTGCGCCGAGACGACGACCATTCGTGCCATGAACTTTGTACGACTGAAGTCGAGGATGGAGAGCTGGCGTCTGTGGCGCCGTCTCAGATGCTGGCTTTTGTTAAAGCCCTGACATTGTATGATGAGTTATAACTCGTTATAACTCAAGAAAGGGGAACACACAATAGATCTGTAAGATCGCAGTGATTAACTCCCCTCCTAAACATTCTACATTCTACAAGCCCAATAAAATGTCCAGTAATACCTGCCTAAAATATTTTACAAGTAGCATGAGTGTTTATAGAAAAACATGCTTTCAAAGATTCTTTGTATATGTGCTCTAATATTTCGATAACTTATTGTAAGTGAGTTTGTATGACTTGAAGGAATGTAATTGATGATGTGTATTATTTCTCAAACTAGAGAATATTTCCTTGGTTCAACATCACTTTACTTCTAAAAAGACGTTCAGTAATTTATTTTGTTATGATGTTGCTTAAAGAGTGCCTCTGTATGGTTTGGACAAATGAATTTTGGATGCGTAGCACTTGGTCTTGAAGAAGTGTTTACAGAAATGCTGATTTGAGGTACAAGATGACTGCAAATTGAACTGACATTAGTAGTCGTCAAAGAAGATAAAAATAATGGTTCGAAAGATCAGTTTATTAACGTTATATGTTGATGATGAAATTTATTAACAAGTTAAAGCCTGATGTGATTTTTTAAACCTCTCTACATTATGGTTAAGTTGCAATCTGCAGATATATTTCAAATGACAACTAGTTTTCTAAATCGTATCATTTGTAAAGCTTTTGAAAAAAATGATATTTCTGTTAAAATAATGCTAGTAGAAAGGCTGAATAAATATCCAAGATGTGGAATCATACTAAATATTCGTAATAATCACAACCACCCAGCCCGAAAATTTTTTAACTTTTGTGGAAAGCGATATGGTTTATTCTACTCTCGCCAATGTAATTATAATTGAAGACTCTGGAAGAACAAGACCACAAGAAATCTTCTTCTAAGAAATTTTCTAGAGTGTTTCAATTTCAAGCTTCTAATACGAGTAGGACCTGTATCGGAACGATGGCAACGCTGGCGGACAGTCTTCTGGAATGCGAGCTGTGGGTGCGTGCTGTGACCCCTGCGGCCAGTACTGAATCACACGGTGCACCTTTTAAGGTCTAGCGCCGTGTCGAAGGTGCCGACAGAAGAAAACGAAGGAACGAAGAATAAGAAGAAAACGAGGAAGAGTGAGAGGAGGAGGGGTTGGACGTTGTTGGCGATTCTTGAATGGAATTCGAGCCGAAGAGAAACGCGCCGATTAGAACGGATGTAGAAACACGAGAACAAGATTTGTTGGGAAATATCGACCGTCTAGGTGTTTCTATTTCGTCTTAAATTGATGCTGGTATATATAAAGGACGGGTATAGAACAGTGCTTTTAATTATTATAATTATTTACGATTGTAATAAATAATTCATCATCATCATTATTTATTTTATCTATTTTACCTCCTCGGTGACATTATTAAATCGCATTTATTGTCTCTCCATATTGACCTTTTATCGTCTTCATTTGGCCCACCCAACGGTTTCGAGTTCTCCCTCTAGAACGTTTCTAGACCATTGGTGTCCCTGGATATGTAGCCAAAGTATCTTAAATAAAGTTTATTTTTAGATGTCGACAGACAATGTTTATACGCTGAGCTTAAAAGCCCTTACCTAATCTTCCGGTACTGTTTGGTGTAACTTTGTTCCTGAATGTTTTCTAATATCGTTGTCCCATCTTAAATTAGTGTTTTTGATATAGTTTTTTATTTGGATATCGACCAGTAAAAACACTTAGAAGTTGTTAGTTTTGTGTTTCGTCAACATTTCAATGAATATATGATATTTTGATATTTATCTCAAACAAAAAGGGATGAATATAACCGTAGGCTGGATTTCTGAGCAATCGCATAATCCTGTCAGTGCTTAAATGCTGATATAGGGATCACAAAAAATAAAAATACTTAAATTAGTGCTTCTTCTTGGAATTTCTACGCTCTTGACGATTGTTTTCTGAGTTTTCTCTCTGATCTACTCTATCCTCTGGTGGTTCTTCTTTGTTAGTACAAGCATGGATAGGTCCATAGACTTTTGTGCTACGCGTTTTTCTTGTTTTAAAGTTTGCGTTTTACATCGTCGTATCATGACAACCGCGCGATGTCAATGCTCTCCATGCCAATTGCATGCTTCTGTTAGTTTCCATAATTAGTAAACCAGCGTTCTGGATATCAATTGACCCAACAATACTGGATGTTTGTCAAAAGTGACTCAACCCTATAACTTTTTTATTTTTTTTGTTATGAAAAAAAGGAGATTTCGTATGTTAGTATATGACATAAATCAGAAATGATAGGCGTATTCAATTATTTTCGATAAATTCCTGTTTCACCGGAAATGACTAAAACTTTTTGTTTTAAACAGTCCCTTGATATATTTTTTAGTCTATTTCAAAGTCTATTTGATACAAAATGCCATTCTCAATAGAATGACATATCATATATCAACTTTTGACATTTTCTTGGAAAAAAAACGACAATTTGACTCGAAATACAAAGTATGTAGTACCAAATTATTCACTAAAAAATACTTTTTTTAAATTTGCTAATGAGCCACCTTCGTTCCATTTGAAAAAAAATATATATTAAATAAAAAAATACGATTGGGACATCTTCTAACCGACCAGGAAACATCACGAAAAACCTTAGATTATCAAAAGCTGCTTGATTGTAATTTGATTACAGTCAAGCAGTCAATCGCTTGAGCATATCAATACACTCTAAATTGTAATTTAAAATACTATTTTTTCAGCGAAAATGTCAAAACTTGACATGTGATAAATCATTCTATTCAGAATACACCAGGGTACCATTTAAAAATCACAACTTGTAGTAATTTCCGGTGAAACAGGAAGTAACCGACCCTAATTGAATACGCAAATCGATCCTGATTTATGTCGTATACTAACATACCCAATCTAGTTTTTTTATCTAAAAAAGAAAAAAGTTACTATTACACTTTTGAAAAACACCTGATGTACCCTAAGCAGCAAATTAAATTTTCATATAATTTAAAGTTCAATAAATATTGTTTATTCTAGTGGGCCAATTTTGGTGAATTTTAGTCAAATTGTAGCTAAATTATTTGACTTTTTGGCCTCTTTGTGGTAAAGTCAATTATGTGAAAAACTATGTGGTAACTTTATTCTACTAAGTAAGTTTTTCAATTTGGCCAGTGGGAAAATCTAAGTCGCGAATTTTATAATATATATGTTACGGTTAAAGTCCGATATCCGGTTAATGTCGAAATTAGCAGGTTAATGTTTGGGTTTGGTTTTGTTTGTGGTTGTTTTGTTTTGTATTATTCTCGAGATTAACCGGCTAATGTCGACATTAACTGGATATCGGACCTTAACCGTAACATATACACCAAACAGTTTTAGAATATTGTCAAAGAAGAAAAAATTGGTAGAATAGCCATAATTAAGAAGCACAGCTGTTATGAATTTACACTGAGTTTACCAAATGTAAACTGATATATTTTGTGCTACTTGTTTTATTAACTTAAAGAGTACATTATAGAAACATTATAAAACTCATCGGCCACATTAACCTGGCGTAAAATTAATTCTCGTTTGTCACAATTCATTTTCATCATTTCCGAACGATCACCTGCAACATTGTTGCAAAGCGTCGATCACTTCGTTGGCGATCGACAACACCATTGTTTGCCGGTTACTTATTGAAATGTTTTCTGTTTTAGACAATGCCCGCTCTGCTGCGTTGTTGCCTCCCGGAGAATTCCAATCACATGACCCAGCAGCAGTAAGTATTAATAATAATCAACTAACCACACTTAGGCATCGGATGTGCCATAACAATTCCTCAGATCAAAGCTATCGGTGCGGCGCCGTATGTTGGCCGTAGCGAGCCATTTAGCTTCGACACTGTTTATTTTAATAACATTTATTAATGGGGGTTAACCGAAACTCTTTAACTTTTTATTATGGTGCGTGTGATACAGTGGCGCCGCGCAGTTCAATACTTTGGTGCAGTTTGTTTTTTAGTTCATCAACCAAAATCTGAACGAATTTCGTTCACACGCGTAAAAGAGACAAAAAAATACATATACATTATTTGTCTTATACTGTGACATCAAATCACAGTATATGTGTAAAAAAAGGTGTTATAAAAGGTTTATTTGATAAGGCAAAAATAATATGTATAAAATATACATTGATATAAACCGACTATCCACCATATTTTATTGACAAAATATTAAACGAAATACAAGCCCTAAATAACAATACACAATATATACAACTTACAATTCCATACATACGAGGTGTTTCGGAAAAAATAAGGATAGGAAAACAGTATAACATACGATCATCCTTCAAAACATAAAATACACTTAGATCCATTTTAACCCACACTAAACCAATGAACACTGGACAACAAACAAAAATGGTGGATGTGATACAAAATACCATAATATGAATGTGATAAATTTTATATTGGTGAAACATCTAGACCCCTAAATGTTAGAATTAAAGAACATAAATATTATTTAAAAAAAAGGCAATTTTCACAAATCTAAGATATGTCAGCATTCATAGGACACAGGGTACAGAGTAAATTTTAACAACGCAAAAATTATAATGGAAGAAACGATAACCTCTAAAAGAAAAAAAGAGGTTTTTTTAATACAATTTAATAAAAATAAATGTATTGCTCATGCATCTGTAGAGGTTAGTAATGTATGGCAATCGCTTCTCTGACTTTAAAGAACATAACATAAGTAAAAATTAAAAACAAATTAAAAAATAATCATACACAAAGTTTGAAGCTTTTTGGTTTTATCTTCTTGAGTAATAGTTGTTATGAAGTAGTAATTGTTAATTTTGAAGTTTAACTTGATATAATGTCATTTTAACAACGGTTAACGTTAACGGTTTTTATAGACGTATCTGTTTAAAGAAGACTAAAGTGTTTTTGACTAAAGGGAAATTGGAACAATTTCCGTTGCAGGTCATCAATGACACCATGCGTCGTCTTATGGAGTTTGCTGGTGGTCGTATTATGATATGCAACGGAAGTTATTTTAATTTCCCTTATAGTTGCATTTAGATATTGTAAATATTTTTTCTTTGTTTTTTTGCTTCCTTTGTGTGTTTTTTTTTTGCTTTGAAGATTTGTACTGCATGCGTTACAAATTACATCAAAATTTGATTATCTTTTTTTAACAGAAGAGAAAAGCTGTTTATTAGTTGCTATTAGGGTTTTCAAACCGGAATCCCGGTGTATGTTTATCCCAGAAATCCAGATATTTAATCCCGGGATCTCGAAAATTTCCAAAAATTTAAATGCCCATCTAAAGTGATTGGACTACATACACTTAAGTCTTTTAAAGATCATATTTTATATATTTAGACTAAGCAGAACGTCAATATCTAAAAATTATATTTCCGTGTTAAAGAATGTATTTTTTTATTTACTAAATATAAATGTTACTTTGTTTTATCTATTTTAATAAAGCTTTGTCTCATTTTCTTTTTGATATATGTAGTTGCATATTTCTTTAGATTAAATTTCTCATTGTGATAGTCAATACCGGGATCCCGGGATTAGAGGCTCTTATCCCGCAATTTCAAAAATTTCAAAACGGGATCCCGATCCCGAAAATTACCTAAAAAACCCTAAAAACTCTAGTTGCTATACCGGATGCGTCTCCAAAGTGGCTCACCCTTATAACTTTTTATTTTTTAGTTAAAAAAACGAGATTTGTTATGTTAGTATATGACATAAATTAGGATTGATTGATTGATTGACTTCCTGTTTCACCGGAAATGACTACAACTTTTGATTTTTAAATAGCACCCTCGGTATTTTTTTTACTTTATTCCATAGAAAATAACACTCTGAATAGAATGACATATCATATGTCAACTTTTGACATTTTCGCATAAATATGTTTATTTAAAATTTCAAAAATTTCAATTTGCGGTTCGTAACGAAAATTTGACTCGAAATACCAAGTATGTGGTATCAAATTATTTGTAAAAAAATGCTAATGAGCCACCCTTGTTCCATTTGAAAAAATTGAGATATGATTTAAAATGGGATTTGAGTATTTTCTAACCGGCCAGGATAAGGCACTAAATCATTAGACGATCAAATATATTTTTCCAAGGCTCCTTGATTTGTTTTAATATAGTCATGACACTCTAGATTGAATTTTATAATACGATTTTTTATTAAGCGGGAATGTCAAATGTTGACATATGATATGTCATTCTGTTCAGAATGTCATTTTCTATCGAATAAAGTAAAAAAATACCGAGGATGCCATTTAAAAATCAAAAGTTGTAGTCATTTCTGGTGAAACAGGAAGTGACCAACAACATTTGAATATGTCAATCAATCCTAATTTATGTCATATACTAACGTACCAAATCTCTTTTTTTTATCTGAAAAATTAAAAAAGTTATAGGAGTGAGCCACTTTTGAGACGCACCCGGTATATATACTTTCGTTTTGGTATTATTAAGTGCTTAATTTTATTGGTAAAATTAAATATCACGCGTTATACACTGATAATTCCAAGCCAAATTACTCGTTGCATATACAATTAGCATGAGCTTATATCTGCCCAACGAGTCAGGGAAGTTTTCGACAGATGATATTCAAAAAATTATAGAAAATAGAATTTACTTGTGAATTAAAATGGGCACAATGTCATTGCCATGGATCGTAGGACTAAACAAGCTTATGTTCATAAAGCGCACGTAATCATAACTAAAATTAAGACAAAATAAATCACAAATCACATCCACGAGTGCCTCGAAAAGGAAAGAAAATCCAGATAGATATAGAAATTTGGTACTTTCCAACGTTAAGTTGCTTTTAGGTTAGATTTCCCTGGCATTTTTTTCTTCAAATTCCGGCCGTACCATCCCATCGTCCGGTAAATCCGGTAAGATAATGTATTAATTTAAGAGTAACTTCTTGAAAACTAATTTATTTCTGTACCGTCTAACCTTTAACTACAATATTCTAACTATCTTAACTACTATAATATAACTACAAATATTCTTAAAAAATATCACCAAACAGATAACAATCTGATTTTTGTACTTCAGCCGCGTTGTTTTACAAAACTAGGTCGAATTTGAGAAGGAAAGAGAACTGGGGCAAGAATGCAACACTAATTGAAAATGCTGTTCCTACATGCTAATAGACAGAGATTACTTATAACAAATAATATTTAAAATACGACAGTATTGTATGTAAATCCTGTTAGAAACTACACTAAAAAACAGTTATATTACTTCGTCTAGTTTCCTTTGCGTGTCAACATTACTTTTTTTTCTGGTCGCGATTAAAGGAACGAGCTTATTTATGTCAATAACGAGTTAACTGGTTAAGGAGATAGGTTAGTCAATTATTCTGCAAAGAAAGTTAAATTCTTTCTAGTACTTTGTAATTTATACAGGATGGGTCTTAAATAAGTGCAAATATTTGTAGAGATAGTATATTTCGACCCCAGAAACTATGAGGTTTTTTTCGTGAAATTTTTTTTTTGGAGATTTTGGATTTTTTTTGAAAAATATTTTTGATTTCTTTTTAGGTTTTAGTTAAAAACATAATTTGTTGATAATATGACTGATATTGATAATATGATGAATATGAACATAGGTAGTAGATAAAATTAAAAAAAAAGAAAACCCAGAAAAGAACCAGTGTTTCTCAAAACTTGAACAGATTTTTTTAAAATTTTTCAAAGTAAATCGTTATTTTTTAAAAACGGTAAAGAGAAAATAGGTCTTTCAACTCCGCCTTCCAGGTCCTCTTTTGCTAAGACCTTTCCCTGGAGTATCAACTGAAGTAGACAATATCTCTTTTGGTTCCCCATTATGTATCCCAGATATCCTAATTTTCGTTGTGTGATAATGTCGACTATTTTGTTCTCCTTTTGCATTTCCAAGACGATCTTGTTAGATACGTGGTCTACCCAGGAGATTCTCAAAAATTATCTGTATAGCCACATCCCAAAGACTTCAAGTTTTTTTTTGTGGACGCTTCTGTCAATGTCCAAGACTCAGAAGCATACCATACAGAAGGCCCAGACCAGATATAATACTTAAGTAGTCTCATTTTGGTCTGTAAATTAATCTAATCTCTACTCTTGAACAAATTTCCCATTCTAACGGAGTCAAACTAATTTAACAATTTAACAATTACTAGGGGTGTAAACTTTCTGTATGTGATATTTTCTTTGTTTTTAATTTTTATTTATGTCATATTATGTTTGTTTATGATATGTGTTATTCTATATAAAAAAATAATGAAAGAAGCGAAAGCTATTCATTCAGGGTGCAAAGATTTAAATCGTGATTTAAATCAATGAATTTTTTTTAAATTTTAATCATGGGTTTAATTGTAAAAAAATTAACTTGTTTGAAAACTTAAAATAAATAGAAAAATATCTGTAGAAGTTATAAAAAAATTCCTATAAAGGTTAAGGTTTCCTTATAAAAGTTTTTAATTTTTTAAAAAATCTTGATTTTTTTGCACCCTGCATATATTACTAACATTTGATGCTTGAGCAATATATTATTTACATTAGAATGGATTAAAAAAGCCTCTTTTATTTTTCGAATAGAGACTAGATTCTTCTCTGTGCCCTGTGACACATGAATAAATCTTAATTTGCGGAAAATCGCTCTTTTTTAAATAATCTTTGTGTTCTTTATTTCGAAGGTCTTTTCTTTATTTCGAACCATTTAACTGTCTAGGTTAGTGATTCCCAAAGTGGTCCAGGT